CATGCAAGCACATGAGCTTGGTAGAGATATGTACATAAAAGTATAATTATATTATATAATACATATTTCTGGAGAATATTTGTCCTCTGCATTGGCAACTAAACTATTCACAATCCAAACAGGGCTTGCTTGCCCAGTGGAAGAGTGCTCCCTGCAGTTGCCGATTCCCAGTCCCACTGCTGATTTCCAGAATCATGTGGACCTTTTCTATCCTCAGGTGCGAAGCTAGTAATAGGTAGGAAGTCCCCATGTCACCCCCTTATTTCAAGTTATGTCCGGACACCAACATCCTCGAGACTCCCTGAATGATATAGGGCCTCGTTAGACACTCCTTACGGTTTCCTTGAGCCACAAGGAAACGTCCTTGTGGATTTTTTGGGGAATTCGCGGCGTCATTCCACTCATCCTTGGGGACGTTCCCCGAGGATGTTTCCTTGTGGCTTCCCCGCGGCCATTTTCATACGTAACTTAGCGGCCGCGGGGTCAGACGTCCTTGGTCCAGCTTCTTTTGTCCGTGTGGAGGCGGCGTGGTCCAGCGACGCGAGGCGGGAAACGGCAGACGGCGGGCGACGCGGAAAGAAATTTAACCCCAAGGGCGTGGGCATTTCAAATTCAAAATTCGAACGACTGCTGCCACAACGACGACGACGTGTGCCTGGCAGTGCGAGGGGGGCGTGCTGCGGAAAGGGGCTGAGCGGCGGCGGAGGTTCCGTCCCCAGGCCGTTGCGACTGTGCGGGCAGGGTGTGGTGCTTCCATCGCTGTGGACTTTTGCACACGTCGACTGCGCGTTGCTCCTCTTTGCCGTTTGCGGGACTGTAAGCATAGAAAAGGGGGCGCCTTTCGACGAACGTCTTCGACTTTCGTCGCGTGGGGAAGTACGACACAGACGACAGCGGAACGACGGGACCGTTTCCACGTCGCGTCTATGGAGGGCGGCGCAGAGGGTAGACGTGATCCGTTGACTCATCGTGAGCTGCAGGCCGTGGCGACGGCCGTGTCCACGATCATTCTTCGATGTCAGCAGGAGAGGGCGCTGGGGCGACTGAAGGAGCAGTTGAGTGCGCGTAGACGGAGGAAATTGACGCAAGATCCGTGCGATGGGGCCGATTATGTGGCAACGTCGGAGGCTGTTGTTCAGCTGTGCTACGCGTTGGGTTGCGGAGTGATACCACGTGCGACGCCGCGGTGGTGGGTGAAGCGCAGGACAGGGGGCACGTGGGAAGACCTCAGGCAATGCGACGACGCGACAGACGACTACTTCCGGGATAAGCTTCAAATGTCGCCGCGAGTGTTCAGGGAAATCGCGGAGGCGTGTGCGCCTCATCTTCAGCGGCGGGTCACATTCTACAGGCAGCCTTTGCAGCCAGACCAGATTGTGGCGTACGCGCTGTATAAGTGGGCTTCAGGAGAGACGTACGAGAGCAGCACGTGCAACTTCGGGATTGGACGAGCTTCTGGGCTGATTGTCGTCCGCGACGTTACTGCTGCGCTGCTAAGGGTGTTCGGAGAGAAGATCGCGTGGCCGACAGGACTGCATGAACTCGTCATTCTGCGGGCGTTTGTTGATAAAGGGTTCCCCAACTGCCACGGTTGCATTTATTGTACTCACGTCTACGTCGACAAGCCGGCGAACGCTCCGAGCGAAAACTACTACGACAGGAAGCGCCGTTTCTCCATCGTCGCACAGGTTGTCGTCGACCTGGACTTGCGTGTGCTCGACGTGCACATGGGATACACAGGTAGCTGCCACAACATCAGGGTGCTGCAGTTGTCCAGCCTGTCGCTGCCCGCAAAGGAGGGGTCGTTGTTCCACGGTCCCCCCGTGACACTGTCGTTCGGTGTGAAGACGAACGGGTACGTTCTGGCGAACAATGGGTACCCCCCTTCCGAATGGATGGTCGTCCCGTTGTCAGGCGGCCACAAGCAGTGCGCCGCCTGAGATCTGCAGTTTTGGGGCTTAGGCTCAGGGACGAATCCGTGTTTTGATGGTAGTCCCGTATGACCAGGCAGCAAAAATTAGGGGAACTCAGGGCAGTCCTGATTTTGGGCGCACTGAGCCTTATGAGTAACCCTCAAAGATGGGGAGATGGGTGGCCGCACTCGGCATG